TTTCTTTTAGAGATTCAAGGCCTAGCCCTAGGGACACAATAAAATAAAGGCGATCAATCGATTGAAAACACCAAGTCGAGCGTGTCCCCATTCGTTAACGTTTGGGATCAGGGACTGTATCTTACTTTAAATATTTCACAATTATTGGACGAGGTTGAGCAAAATATCGTGGTTTGTCTGTGGCGAGCAGATCAATTAGGCTTCGGCAAATAATTGATCTTCGAGACACTGACAAATCACGATATTTTCCGATAACCGAGTTCAATAATTGTTTTATCATTTGATCACCGAGCGAAGACATTTTCACGCAAGAGCGATCGCAAGAAGGAGAAAAGCACGGTTTTCTTTACGCATGAGCAGAATATTATTTGCAGCCAAAAGCCAAGCCAAAAGCTGTTGGACGGCATTGCACATGAGCAGACCATTATTTGTAGGCAGTTATTTGCAGGTCACGTGGTGGGCTCTTGGCCAATGAAAAGAAAGAAAAATTTGCTTCGAATGATGATACCTCTTACTGGTGAGCAGTGCAACAAAGAATTAATTTTGTCTTCAAACTGATCACATCGGTCTAAAAATACAACATAGTCTACTATTGTTTCTTTTGTGACTGATTTGGTTGTATATATAGATCTGTCAATCTCATCATGAGCTTGTGATTGCCTAAATATCCGTGGACTAAATAAATGTCCTTCTCTACAATATTTTCTAGTAAGTTCAATGATATTTTGACGGGCCCGTTTATTTTCGACGTATTCGTCTTTAGGAATCCTTTATATAAAATTCTACTATTTAAGAGTTTTGAGGACATTAGTCATAAATCTCATTAAATCGGTGATGTCTTTGACTTGATGATTCGCGGAACAATAGGGCCATTTATACGAGGAAAAATAAGACGCGTCTTACATAAGACGCGTCTTAAATAAAACGCGAACTGTACCATTTATACGAGCATGTCTTATCTAATAAGACGCGTCTTAGCTAAGCCGCGTCTTATTTTAGACGAAATGTGCCGTTTATACGGAAAGTTCGCGTCTTATTTAAGACGCGTCTTATTTTTCCTCGTATAAATGGCCCTATTGTCTTCATCAGATGAAAGTAGTGAAGACTACAGTAAAACCTCTGAAGGGAAACGAAAAACAGATCGAGTTAGCGGGAGTTCACAGTTATTGGGTCGATTGAATGTCAAATTTGCCATCTTAATAATGAAAAGTTATTGATTTTTCAGCACTTCAGAGTATAGTCCAGTGCAAATTTAACTTATTTGATCAGAAACGGTGACATAACAGTGACATGATCATACTTTTTATTATAAAAGGTGATCTGTTCGTAGCACCAATCAAAATTAAAATCCAGTGTTGTAGTGTTAGTTTTAGCGTTTTTACCAATTATGCAATAAGAAGACTGAGCTGTAGACTGCAAAACAGTCCGTATTTTTGCGTATTCAAGTACGCGAGAGCAAGGCTTGCGCGCTTCGCGAGCGTAAGACTCGTACGCCACGCTTTACCGATTTCTTTACTGATTTTGAGAAAAAAAACCGACTGTTTTGCAGTCTAACTGAGATGATGGAATGACATCCAAGTGTAGTTGAAAGAACTAGGATTGGAATTATCGGGGTAAATTTCAGTGAAATTTTGATCAAGGAACAGGAAATTTTGTTCGAGTTATCCGAGTTTGAGTTAACCGTGTAAAAATCATTGAAATTGGGGTGAAATCCAAGGGAAATGGCACTTAGTTCGAGTTATCCGAGTAGTTCGAGTTATCGGGGTTCTACGGAAGGTAAATCGCTGGTGAGTAGATCTAATGAAACAAGAATCGCCGAATTTTACCCTGGCTGCCACTGGGCGATTATTTCTGAGGGGAGGGGGCGGCTGTACGCACCCCAGGCTACCATAAAACCTTGTGAACAACTTTTGTATATGTAAGGACCACTGGTCAAACAGCAGCGAGGGAAAGCCGGATCTTTTTGTAGATCAGGATCAGCAATACAAAATAACACTGAAAATTGAAGGCAAGGCTGATCAGACAGCTGAGGGTTACAAATTTATCTGCCCAATATTTCGACTAAACAGAACTAGTCCTCATCAGGGGGTAGAAAAGCTAAGTGAAAATAGAATAAACGGTTACAGACTATTTAAAATAATACAAATATAAAAATAAAATGTGATTGGTTGAGGAATGCAATAGCTGAAAACTTGTAAAGAGGTAATACAAAAATAAATGTCAAAAGACAACCTCGTCCCCAGGGCTTTTCCCTTAAAAAAATGGGTGGGGCCCACCCATTTTTTTTTAAGGGAAAAGCCCTGGGGACGAGGTTGGTCAAAAGATTAAATTTCATCTCGTCTGTTCATCCCATGGGGTTCAAGTGTTTTGCCTTTAGATAACTATTTTCGCGAAAACTGTCTGATCTTGGTGAGTCTGTCTTTGCTTCTTATAGTCGTTAAGAAGAAACTGTTATTATCCCACTGAAACCAAAAACTTTTCTTTTGCCCTGTTTGGCCAACAGAAAAAAACACTTGCATGTTCGTCATACGTCAGTTTTAATACAAGTTTGCTTGTTTGAAAGTACTGAATTGTTTTCCTTGTACCACTGTATATGTCGGACGGTTATCATTTATTCAGGGGAGGGTCATAGAATTTTAGGACGCTTTCCAGGGGGAGGGGGGGCGGGACATTTTAATCCATTACCTAGGGAGGATCATTTTATTTTCAGCGTTTAACTGAAAATCTCCCCTCCCCTCCCCCTGCTAATTTCTAACAAATCCCTTATAAAGTAGACACAATAAGGATCATAAACAAACGATCCCCCTTGATGAAAATTTTTGTTCAGCATTTCTTTCACGGAATACAAGTTCTAATGAACATCTCATTTTGTTTGAACAGCCCAACTTCTCTGTCAGCCACGTTTATTAAATGATATCAGAGTTAAATTTACGATATCGAGTACTGCCGTGGTTCATCATTGGACCGCTCACAAATCGCATTGAGTGGCGTTTCAGATTTCGCACAATTATTTTGACTGAATTTTGTTTTGTGAAAGCAGACATTTGTTCCTGTGAGTCTTAACGCTGAAAATGCTCATCCTCTACGATTTTCTCTGCTGACTGGAAATGTAGTTTTCAAGTGGAGTAGCAGCTTCGTCAACTCAAGATGATTACACGGGACGATTTGCAATGACGATCTTTCAGGCACAATACAGCGTTGCAATGCTGGAATAATGTTTTAACGATTCGAAACAATGTCGCAACAATGTTGCAACACTCTATTGCGCTAAAATCGTCTTTGCGAGTTGTGCCGCGTAATATCACCCTCAGTCATGACTAACCCTCACTCATGACTGTTTCCCCTCTAAAGGTGATGTTACACGAGACAATTCGCAACGACGATTTTTAGCGCAACACATCTTTGCAACATTGTTGCCACATTGTTTTGGATAGTTCCAACATGGTTCCAACATTGCAACGCTGTGTTGCGCTAAAAATCGTCGTTGCGAATCGCCCCGTGCAACATAACCTTAAAAGTCCTAGGCCAAACGTCAAACCTCTCCTGACACTAACCAAACTCTAATTTTGTGTCGACCTAAATTTAGTTAAGATCGTCTGTTGGTACAGAACTTAGAGCGCGTCGAACCAATCAACTGGATCAGATCGGTAATAAATTTTCTCCCGAAACAGTTCGTCCCATGTGTCCCGCGGAGACGATCTTCAGACGTTCTTTCAGTCTGAAGCAGACGGATAGAAAGTATTGGACGATTGGATCTCATTTAGACGAACGTACCCGACTGAGCCAGACGTCGAACCGTTCATGCACTTGTAACTCACTAAGTTTGGTTCGTCTCATGAAAAGTTTGACGTTTGGCCTAGGCCTAAGCTGTATTCACTGTACAAGGTTGTTGTTTCAGAATTGTTTAAATGATTGAGTTTCTGTACGGCATGCATCTTTTGTTGCTATCCTGCTTTATTCGATATTATCATGAATTTTTTTTCCAAATAACTTTCAAATAGACAAAAATGTGTGCCACATCGAAGGTTATCAGTTGTAGTCAGTAGAGTTAACGGTGCGTTCAATTGATCGTGATTCCGGAATAAGAATACGCAAAAGTGTTGTTACAAACCTCTTCTACATTTTGAACCATTTAAACTTTATATAGATCGGAATATTTTATTGCACCACAATGAAAGCCAAAAAAAGCGCAGTTGGTTTCTTGGGTCTATTCCATTTATTCTTTATTCCGGAATACGATCAATCGAACACGCCTTAACTGTCACATCAAGTATGAAAAAAGGTAACTGTCCGTCCACTGTGGTTTCACCTGGCAAGGCATGAATTGCTTCAATCTATAAATGAGCAGTGTTAGCAAATTATCTGATCTGAGATGGACTGATTTAAAAAGCAAGGTATACACTGAACACTGCTAAAACTAATTAATAATGGGGAGCTTAAGCAACCACGATAAACGATAAACCAAGATAAAGGCAATAGGATAAATTACCAAAAGAACAACTCTTGGCTGCATCTTATTTTTTCACGCCACGAATATTATCTTTTCTCTCTCATTAGGGACTGTGCAATAATTATCAGGAGGGGGGTGCCCTAAAACCAGAGGGGGGGGGCCTTAAGTTAAAATAATGGAAAGAAGGGGGGCTCTACATTAGATTCTCAAGTAAGTTGAGGGGGGGTCTTAATTAAATTTCACAAATTCGATAATGAATAAATAAACATTTTCCAAATAGACAGATGCCACTCCTTTGACTATCCATAATGTCTAAATATTGCATCAACATAAACACATGCTTTAACTTATTTAGAATGTCAACATATGATAGATTGAAACAATCGTTCAAGCACAGAAGTCACAAACCACGTTGTGTGCTTTGCCAATAAAACTTTTGGCATTTAAGAGGTCCCGCAGACATGCCAGGTCTGTTCTTGATTTAAACAGCGAGAGGGTTTTTAGGTCTACAGTTTCTAGCTGAGGAATGCCACATGCTTCTGATATTTAAGGACCGGGAGCGGGAGTACACAACCATGAGGTCCAGGATTTGTTTGTGTTGGTTTGTAAGCTGCTCGAGTCCGATCACCGCATGCGCCTTCATAGAGCACCACACGACTCCGCTCAAAATGAGGCAGAAAGGACTAATGCTGCCATCCGCGAAGCTCTCGCGACCGGGCGACCAGTGGAACCACCTGCCGATCCATTTCATGGACTTACGGCCTCTCAAATGGAAAGCATGACCTTAAAAGAGGTTGAAGAACATTGCCTTTCGTGGAAGGTAGGAAATACCTGGAAGTTGGCTAGAGAAGTGTCGGAGAGAATTCATGACGAGCCGGGACCTGGAAAACATGATTTTCTCATCTCTGTTCCCAGTTATCCAAAGGAACAGCAGATTTTGCACTTCTTGGCCAAGTATCTAATTCAATGGAAGAAGGCACCTGTCAACAAGAGACCCACGATGTGTGGGAATGCCTTATTTCTGAAACTACAGAGGCTGAAGGATGATCACGTGAGGCAAGGACATTGCTACTTAGAATACCTCAAGTTCACGTGCGAGCCAACCTGTGAGTTCTGCGAGCGCGAAGGTTGGTCTGCGGGGGTTCCTGGGAATTGGTTTCCTGTTCCTACTCGCAGCAATACTACGCCGCGTACATACATTCCATCTGTTGTGCCAAGAGAGGAAATCGATAGCCTCCTGCCAAGCATCCAAGTTAAGCGATTGTTTGCCACTGGGAGGAAGGTCCACAGCAAAGAGGTGCAGAAATTGTGCAACGACTTTTTGATTGACGTGAATGCCTGTAACCACTTCATAGAGCACCAAAAATTCCTTGCAATGAAAGCAAAAATAATGAACAATCAGACGATTCGGAAATTGACGATTATGAAGAACAAAGTTTCGAGGTGCTCTTCATCCCTGACGACGCAGTGGAATGCGTTGTAGTACGGTGAATAAAGGTACGGGTTAGAGAGGGGGGGCACATCATAATTTTGAGAGAACGTGAGGGGGGTCAGAGCTAATCTTGACGCTGCTGGAGGGGGGACCTATCTAATTTTTCCTTCGGTGAAGCTCATTTTAGGACCCCCCCTTCCTGATAATTAATGCACAGTCCCTTATGAAGTGGAGGTGGTCCCCAAGAATTAATTTCCAGGAAAATTTGCTTAGTATATAGTGGTTTGATAACGGTGAGGGTAAAAGGAGGAATGATTTTGTGGAATGGCATGTGGTATGGCTTGCGGAATTACATAATTGTGTGGAATTTAATTTGTGGAAAATGGCGCAAAGAAAAAAATTCAACAGGAAAGTATGCGCGCGTCTCTGCCGCGCTATTTTTTTGCACCAATTCGAGCGAGCAATCCATTTGCTGGTCCATTTATTGCATGGCTAAAATTGAAACACAGCTGATACACGAATACTCGATAAATTATCCATAACTCGTTTCCAAAATAAACTGAAACAGTTCTTTACTCACGTCTCTTTTCCAGTGAGGCGCATTGAAAGTACGAAAACATGTCAAGTTTAAACAATCTTCGATTGAGTCATACTCTCCTCATTACATAGAAACGTCGTAACGGCGGACGAGGAAAAATAGAAAGAAAGAGAGAGGACCCTGGGATCGAGGTTGTTAGGAAATGGCAGAGTCGGTAGTCCCAAGTGAAATAAAGCAATATAAGCCTCGTCAAATACGTGCAGACGTACTGTGTCACAAATCTGTTTGGGTTTTTAGGGGTATATAACCTGTGCTACTCAAATCAAGGGTCACTCTTTATGGCAACGCTAGAGCGCTAGAGGGTAAAAAACGCTCTCTGAACGTGAAGTTGGGCTATAGCAACAATTTAAAGGATTTTAAATACGCCAGTGAACGAATCAGATCAAATTCGAGACTAAATGAACGCCTCGAGTCAAACATTAATCCGTAATCCACAAATAGAGTCAAGCGGCGAACTTCTCTCTGTCTCCTCTAGGCTTTTCCGTGTCTCTTCGCACCTCCCTTGTTTGTTTGAACTAACCAAGTCATTAATATGTATTTTTTTTTAAACAGTTAATGTTATGCCGAACTGGCTTTACTAACTTAATAAAGGAAAGGTAAAGGTAAAGGAGAAAAAAATGCTAAAAGTAGGAAGGAAAAGAAAAAGAAAAGAAAGAAAGAAAGAAAGACAAAAAGCACACAAACTCTATTGCCAGGATTCGAGCTCGCGCTTCTCGGCCAGGTGTTAGCTTCGCGTGCCTGAAACTTCACCACGTAGCCAAGAAAACAAAATACAAGACACGGTCGATCTCTGAATATTATGTCAGGAACAATCTCGCGACCCACCGTCTGAAAAAGAAACATTTCTCACACGGTTTCAGATGAAAATAAACTAAAGAAAGTGACGTTCATCTTGAAAATATCTTTTGCAGAAAAAAATTAAAGCAGAACATAGTGTGACCTTCCAAATCATCTTTTCTTCAATGGCCGACTTTCGTGATGTAGTATCGGTGCTGCCAGCAGCCCGACTAATAAAGGCAAGTAGAATCTTTGTGGCTGAACAAAAAGCTAACCGACCGTGAGACATCAAGGAGTCTTTCCTGGCTTTTTGATTAATGTTGTATATAGTTTATAAATAATAATGGAATTGTAATAAAGCATATTTTATTTTATTTTAACTTATTTTCTCGAAGATATTAGCTCTACAGCTACTCTGTAAATTTCGAGCATAAATAAAGTATATGTATGTATGTATGTATGTATCGCAGTCGAGCACGCAACATTAAAGAAACGGCTGCCTGTGAATTGATTGGCGTCAAAAAAGGGCGCAATGCCATTCCGCAAACTCATTCCACCTTTTACCCTCACCGGTTTGATAACTAAACTGAACGTCTAGTAGGCATAACTGCCAATTGAAAGAATTTGAAAGAAAGCGAATTCACTTTTGATAACTGACATTTTCGTTGCCGCTTTTAAATTCACAGCAAGAGCTCTTGTCCACAGCCCCCATGTTTTTGATGTCAACTCAAACTCATTATAGAATATAACTTTGAAAAAAAAATTCTTTTCATTGACTCAGTTGTACAAACTGACACCAGTCTCTATTGATTACATCTGCATCCGTCAAAAATTGTTATAACTGAAAAAACTATGAATTTTTAGTGGGTATTTTTACTGAGTTGCCTTCTTCAGTTTAATTTATTATTTAAGAAGATAAAAAAGGGGAAACGCTGTTATATTCTTTAGCAGGTCGTTATAAATGTCCTAAAAATAGCGGTTTTTGTGTGAGATAACGAAGTGAAATCGAATATGGAATAAATTCTGGAGATATACTATATTTTTGCCAGTTGATGTAATTTAGATCTTACCAAGATATCATAACATCTAACTTATCATTTACGGGACTTAACACCATTTTGAATTATTTTCTTGTCGATCGACACTTTTTTGATCATTTTTTTCCTACCAGCGACATTATCTTCGGTCGGGTCATGTGCTGGACGTTCTTTGTGTCACATTTTAATTTCATCCTCGGTTCTAGATTAACTTTGAACTTCGGTTTTATCCTGTAATTATCATGCATATATTTCCGTACAGAGATACTCAAAAGAAGGATTAAATTAAGAATAATATTGAACCACAGCCATTATACTTATAACTACCGGTTGAAATTACACGATGATCAGGCAGAACAGAATTAGGATAGGGTTGGGCAATAGAAATTGGATACGAGAAAGGATGGTTATGTGACTGACTTTATTCTTTACGTAAAAGTCGTCTTATTAGAGTGATAATTAATATTGAAATTGACAAGAAAACAAAACAAACAGCACTACAGGCAACTGACTGAGATCATTGAAGCCTCATGCAGTTATCTGGTCTCACTGTAAAACGGGAACTCGCAGGGCTGCTTTTCCCTTTATGCTGTCTGGCTATGTACGTGTTGGGACAACGAATTCCATGTTCATTTTTTCATTGAAAGTATTTCGTGAAAACATCCCTGTGGATAGCGACCTATATTACTAATTCAAACAAGGTAGGTAAATCTCTTTTTACCGTTATGCATTATAAACAACTGACAAGTCTACAAATTTTACTGATGCCTCCGCTCTAAAATATCTGAAATATCGGTGCGTTCTCGTGTATTTTTCCTTATAGATTTAGCAAAGATGAGACGATTAATTGCTTCACCGTATCCTGTTTGCTTAGAACTCAATTAAAAACCGACAAAACTTTGTCAAATGTCGCTTTTAATGCTACTAAAAAATATCGAAACTAGTGAACAAACTATTCCTTTGCTAGGGCGAAACGACAGGGTTTTTTAAGCATCACATTCAGAGCAATGATATAAATATTGAAAACCTAGTACAGGTGTTCACAAGCAATAGTTATTTAACATTTAGTATTAATATGGGAAGGCTTGACGC